ATCCAAAAGTCTGCCATTTAGATAAGCAGATACACAAAATGTATTGTAGATGAGCATGGTGGAACCTGTCTGTAATCCCAGTACTCCAGAGGCTGAGGCAGGAGAATCATTACAAGTTTGAAACCAGCCTGGACTATAAAGTGAGCACAAGGCCAGCCTGAACTTCATAACAAGACCCTCTCTCAAAAAGACAAAACAAACAAAAATATAGTATAGAGACAGGTGTGGTGGACTGTGTAAACCCAAGAATTTGAGGCCAGCTTGGAAACACAGCAAGATCCTGTATCAAAAATAAGAAACAAGGGCCAGCCAAATAGCTCAGCAGATTAAAGCACCTGCAGGCAGGCACAGGGCCAGAGGTTTGATCCCTGGGCCTGCAGTGCCGGCCCTGCCCCCAGGGCATGCTGAGATGGCAACTGAGACTGGGCGTGGTGGCACGCACCTTTAATCCCAGCTCTTGGGAAGCAGTAAACAGGTGAATCACTATGAGTCTGATCTAGTAGTGAGACCCTGAACACCCTGCATACCTTTCCCTAAAATACAAAAAGAAAATAGTAGGGATAGTGGCCCATGCCTACAATCCCAGCATTTGGGAGGCTGAGGTAGGAAGATGACAGATGTGAGGGCAGTCTGGTCTATATATGGAGTTCAAGGCCAGCCTGTACTGACGTGTCTCAAAAAAAAGCCCCAAAATCAAATCAAAAACAAAACAATTCACAACGTAATATATATACATATATACATATATATATGTACATATATATATATATATGTATTATATACACAATAAGAAGATATTTTGGTATATGCTACAAGATAAAATCTTGGGACATTATGTTAAATGAAATAAGTCATACATAAAAGACATGCATGATCCTATTTATGCAAGATACCTAGAATAAATTCATAAAACAGAAAGTAGAATGGTTGTTACCAGAGATAGAAAGGGGCAGGGGGCAGAGAGTTAATGTTTAATGTAAAGTTTCAGGGGATGATGAAAACTTCTGGTGATACACTTTAAATTGGATATAAATTCATGTATGAAAAAAACCCTCCAGCAAAAACAAAATCTTTCACCACTTGCACGGCCTAGCAGAACATAAAACCCAAGAGCCTTAATTTTTTGTTTCTGCTTTTGTTTTTGAGACAGGGTCTCACTGTGTAGTCCAGGCTTATCTAGAACTCACAGTGATCTTCCTGCCTCAGCCTCCCAAGTGCTGGGATTACAGGACTGCATGACCATGTCTGTCTAAGAGCTTTAATTTGATCATAATACATCTTCCTATGAGTCTTTTCCCCTTCCCTTTTACTGTTTCCTTAATACTTTGCTTCTGTATTTGTTCATAACCACCTACACATGGTGTGCTCTCTACCAATTTATTTTTCAAGATCCAGTTTAAGGTCAACTCTTTGCAAATCTCACCTGACCCCTTCTTCCCTGCTAATTTAAACTACTGTAGGTGGTAGTAATGTTTTTTTTTTAATTTGAGACAGTATATAACCTGTGTATCTGTTTAGTATTACCTCCCTTTCTTTTAGATCAAAGCTGCCACACAATATAATGGAGGGGCATGGCTCAAGGATGGCTAGCTGGGCATCCAGACAGGTCCTTAAGACACTGTACCATTAGAGAATTTCCAGTCAGTGCTGAACTGATCTTTAATTTTGCAAAGTCAAGCCTGATTCTAACAATAAGCAGGAAGTAGAACAACTTCCCTGGGGAAGAAATTTTTGTATTCACTAAGCTCACAAAAAATGATATTTATAGATCCCGTGATACAACACAGTAGCACAGTGCCTGACTGGTAAGCATGAAGTCCTGAGTTTGATTCCTGGTTAAAAAAAAAAAAAAAAAAGATAATTATATAAACCAGAATAATTTACAATGAAAAATACAATTATTAAAAAGCTACTTGGGTAAGATGGCACATGCCTATAGTTCCAGCTACTCAGAAGGCTGGAATGATAGGACTACTTGAGTGTAGGAGTTGGAAACTAGTCTGAGTAATACAATTAATACCCTCATCAGAAACACAAAAATCCTGCAGGTGGCAGATGTCCCTATGGGCAAGACATTTGCTGGATGAATATAGAATCACATCAGGAAAGCATGCCAATTTTAAGCAGCATTCGCAGAAGTCTGATATTCTTGCCCACCATGTAGATGATATGGACAAGGAAATCCTAATGTGCAAGCTGGCTTGACTGAGCCAGGACATAGAAGAGTAATGTTACTGTTAGCTTCTAGGGCTGCTTGTTTAGAAGCTGCTGTAGCTGATCAAGATCTTTGGGTCAAATAATCTCTAAACAGGATTGGCAAGATTAAGTAGGCTTCCATTTAATAAATTATAATCACATTTGCCTTATTCTTACAGTATGACTGGATCATAGTTTGGTTTGTTTTTAATCATGTTTGTAAAAAAGTTCTTAAGAGCTTTGCCTACAGGTAATTTCAGGGCTGTATTAGATCAGGCCAGCTAGGTTTCTCTGTAGTAATAACCAAGATAATCTCAGAGGCTTTTTTTTTTTCCTCAGAGGCTTTTAACAGTTTATTTCTTGTTTACATGTCATGTGTTAGCTGTGGTCCTGTACACCATTTTGGAACCAAAGCTTTATGTGGGACACGCTCTTGCAGCAGAAGAAAAGCGTATGGCTGAATCAAGGAATGGGGAGTGGTTATGCCACTTCTACTATCTCCCTGATCAAAACAGGGCCACACTGGGCATGGTGGTACACACCTGTAATTCCAGGACTCTGGGAAGCTGAGGCAGGACAGCAAGTTCAAGTCCAACCTTGGGAACTTAAGTGAGAACCTATCTCAAAAAATAAAAAAGGCTGGGGTGTAGCTCAGTGCCAAGGTCCTGGGTTCAATCCTCAGTACCAGAAACAAACCAACAAAAACACTAATTTGTGCTGCTTCCTCTACATTTTACCTTTTTCCCATTTTCAATCCATTGCAATGAAACTTATTTTGCAAACGCAGTATACAACGCAAATTCAGTATTTTTAGAAATACAGTTTGGGTTTTTTTGAGGTGTGTGCTGGGGATGCAACTCGGGGGTTCTCTACTGAGCCACATTTCCAGCATTTTCTATTTTTTGAGACAGGGTTTCAACAGGCTAGTCCTAAACTTGTGATCCTTGTACCTCAACCCTCCAAGGCATTAGCATTATAGTATTCATCACCATGGCTGGTAACACAGCTTTTTTTCCTTTACTAATAAAGTTTCTCTATAATTTTAGCAAATAATTTATTTTGTGCTTCCAATTTTATTTTATTTTATTTTTTATTTATTTTATTATTATTTTTTTTTCTGCAAAGCTTTATTCCGGAAGGGCTCAGTCCTTCTTGGCAGCTGCCTTCCTCATGGCGGCCAGCACGTTGCTCAGCTCCTCACGCTTCCTCTTGGCGTGGATGTGTGTCCCCACCCTTTTCTTGATGAACTTGAGGGTGCGCTTGTCCTTCGAGACCTCGAGCAGCTCCATGGTGCGCTGCTCGTAGGGGGCGAAGCCGCACAACTCCCGGATCATGTCCTGCACGAACTTGGTGTGTTTGGTGAGATGTCCGCGGCGGCGGCTGTGCCTCGGTTTGCTCACATTCTTAGTCACCTTGTGGCCCTTGTTGAGGCCCACGGCCATGGGATAGCGGAGGGCCATAGCTACTCTTTTTCAACGGTTGCTGTGGCAGAAGGACCCAATTTTATTTTTTACGTTATTTCTCATGTCTGAGAATGTCATGATTATCATTAATCTTTTATCACATTTCTTCTCATACTATGGTTTCTCTTCAGATTATGTAAGTCTTTTGCCTTTTATCACCCTTCTGCAATTTATAAAACACTCATATTTTAATTTCCTCAAAATTTCCAGGTGGGATTGGAACATTTTACAGATAAACTGAGATGTTTTATAGCTAGTTGGATTGTTTATTCACTCATTAAATATTTACTGAAGCTGGAGATGACATCAGTTTTTCTGAATTCACATCAAAGGACAAGATCCATTCAACCATTCTCACTTTATGATCAGAGTAAAAAACTCAAAGGAAGAAAATACTACTACTCTGTTGACTTCATTGTCATTGGCTTGAAATTCCCAGGGTCAAGTCATCCTTCCACCTCAGCCTCCCCACGTAGCTACTGGGTTGATTAAATCTTTGAGATTCCATGTAATAGCAGTTACAAAAAAAGGTCCAAGGTCATTTGTCAAGTTCAAGGTTACTATTAGCAGAGGAAGTCCCATGTCTGTGCTTGCTACATAGCAGTAAATATCTCTCTAGGTAATTCTGTTCAATACATATTTGATAAGTATACAACAGCAGGTTTTTAAGTTATCCATATTCACTTTTGACTGTTACTTCTTTGGGGCCTTTTACATCAATTTACTCAATCCTTCTAAACTTAAGGGTTTATCTATAAAATGGAAATCATACTAATGCCTTTGGATGAAGTGGCTTTGGACATAAAATGGGAAAAGATGCTCCTAGCAGCTGCGGTTTCCAACTGTCTTCATGAAGTTTTTACTCTCCATTCGGATGAGAAAAACAATGTCTGTGGTCTACATATGGTTACAAGCTAACCATTCTCGATTAAGTATTGTCCTTTATTCTAGAGCTTACCACTTTTACAGTTTTGGTGTTCAATACTTTCTAAAATAAATTTTTAAGAATTTATAGTGTCCATAGCTAATTTTTTTTTTTTTTAAGAGTACAAACACTGGACCTGGGAGATAACTCAGCGGTCTAAGGGCCTGCCTGGTAAGCGCAACAACTCAGGTTCTATCCCCAGTTCCATATGACGCGAGAGTTCCGGAACCCGGGTGCACCATGCGGGAATTGAAAACGGGCGTGTCGCAGACGCCTCTAATCCCAGCGCTGGTGGAGGATGACACAGGAGGATCACTACGAATCCGAGCTGTGTAGCGAGATCCTGTACCAAATATATAAATTAAAAAAAAAAAAAAAAGGTCAGGAACATCTACCGGGGAAAACGTATGGAGAATAGGAATAGAACCTGAGACACAGGAGAGGTTCCGAACGTGCTGCCCTTCAACAGCTAACCTTAATAGCTCAATCTTTCATGCTAAATATTCTGCTGTCCTCTCTCTCCAAATTAAATCAAAACGATCCGCCACAAAACTCATTTCCTAAAACTCAAAAAACCCGCATCACAGCGGACTTCCAAAAGACCTGCCTCAGAGGTCGCCAAGCAACGCCTCTTTCCCGAGGAAAGGGCGGGCTCAGAAAACACTCCGTTCTCCTTTTGCCTCATCCTGTCCACGCCCCTTCCCAAATCTCGCGAGACCTCAGCAACTCAGCTTCTGCGCACAGCAAGACACTGGGAGTCCAGACGCCAAGGGAGGGGGAGGGGAAAGGGGACAAACGGTGCAAACGGCGTAGCCGCCATCTTGTTTGTGGCCCCACTCCGCGCGCGCTCCGTTCTCCGTGACGCACGCTTCCCCCTCCCCTCTGCTGTGCCCGGGCCTCTGTATTGCCCGACGCCGCAGGAGTGCGGGGGCGGTTTCTGATCTTCCGAGGACTCCCTCGTAGAGGCGCGTGAGTGTGTGGGAGCTTCGGTGGGAGGAGGTTGAGAAGGGCGCGGCGGGGGGAGGGGCAACGCTTCCCGCCTTCCGCGGAGACTTCTTCTCTCTCTTGCGGCGGCCGCTGCAGCTCGGTCTAGCCTGTCGCCGCCATGTTGTGTCCTCCTTAGGCCCGCTACTGCTGCCGCTACCGTCCCGCTCGCGGGGTCCTTGCGCCTTGGCCCGGCCCGCGGGCTTTCTCCCATTGGCGGAAGGTGGCAGCGGGGGGGCTTGCTCGTGATTGGTCGTTGGCGGGGAGGCTGCCGACCTGGCACCTTATTGGTCGCGCTGGTCTGGGGGGTGATGAAGGAATCTGAGGCGGTGGGGATGCGCTAGTCCTGGGTTCCGGCGGCAGGCAGGGTGACCCTTTTTGACTCTGGTATGAGGAGGCATGTGAGGGACGAGCCCCAAAAAGTTCTTAAGGTGGAAGAGAGGGTGAGGGCTTCGCAGGCACTTGGGGGTACGTAGTCTAGGGATATGGCTCGGAATTGGGGTCACTCTAGATTCCTTCCAGAGCCTCTCCCTCCTCTGTGCATGCCCAGGATGCAGGCGTGCAAAGCTTCCCAGGCATGGAAACAGCAAATGCCAAGTTGCCGCCCGAGATGGTGTTGGAAATCCAGGCTTATTAGACTGAAAATGCGACCCTGAAGCCCGTGGTTTTGAGTGCGTAATCTGGAGCTATGATCATCAGAGTCCAATCAGTAAAATCGGATCAAAGATTTAGAAACGCTGAGGTTTTAGTGGAACCTTGAGAGTCCATTTACCGGACTGAGATGTGATGGGAGGAGTAGGTTAAACAGAGCGATCCTCTTGCACAGATGGACCAGGTCTTAGTAACGGAATGCCAAGCCCAAGAGGCATTAATCACTATCAGATCAATCGTAAAAAAAGCCTGACTTTGAAAGCATTTAGGGGGAACATTTTCAGGCTTTGAAAGTATGAAAAATTACACATCATTAGTTTTTAGGACCATGCTGCTAGTTTTAAGTGAAAATTTCGTGCCCTAAGGATACAGGTTAAGACTGGGATTCCAGTTATATTTCAGCAAATGTTAGATACCTGGCAGTGATTCGTTGAAGAGATAGTGCTAGGTTTCCCTTTAAGAGAAAGAGAACTAAACAGAGATTCTGGATCTTGGTTCATTTATTTCCTTTTCCATATGTCTAAAACAACACCTATCCTCATATGCACTTATAATTTTTTTTTAAATAAACAGCTCCAGGGGCCGGGGAGATGGCTCAGTAGAATAAGTGCTTCCCAGGCAAACGCAAGGGTCTGAGTTCAATACCCGTTTCCGCCAAAAAATAAAATTAAAAAACCTCTCCATATGAAAATAAACCAGTTCATATCTTTTTGCATCTTAAGTAACAGTACTTCTCATTACTTTCTGGTTTGTGTTTCAAAAATCTATTTTCCCAATGTGAAATTGTTAGAATCAGTTTGTCAGAGGTATATTTCTTTCCACTGAATTATAGTAATTTGAATTGCTTTACATTTGCTCTTCCCAAAGAGTGGTGGCCATAGAAGTATTTGTTAAACTTCTGTGTTTTCCTAATCTTTGTGTTCTTAATTAGTTCAGGTGGGCCTAATTTTTTTAGCATTAGGTAGATGTTACACTACTGTCTCAAACTTGATCAGTTTTATATGGATGCAGCTACATTTTCAAGAGAAAAGGGAAAAGTGAAAAGAGAATGGGTAATTGATATTTTGGAGCACATTTAATACCACACTACTATTAAACTGGGATTGTCATCCCCATGTTGAAATTCGGGAGATGAAGTAGTTTGTCAGGTACTATTCAGTAAGGATTTATGCTAGAATTCAAACCCACCTTGCCCAGTGCCAAACAAATTCTGTTTATTTGCCACATCATACTATCAACATATACCTGATTAGTCAAATTCCCAGGTAGTTAAATTTCCAAGTGGAACTTTGAGTATATAAATGGGAGAATATATAAGAATTTGTTGTACTCTAAAAGATTCAGGGCACAGATTTGCAACCATGTGGATTATGGATTCTTCATGTAGGTATTTAAATCCTATTGTTTGGGTTTAATTATGAAAGGGATGATTTACAAAATAAACTGCTGGGTAGCCAGGTGTGGTGGTGCACTCCTGTAATCACAGGACTGGGAGGCTGAGGAGGAGGATCACCTTGAGTTTGGGGACAGGCTAGGCCATATAGTGAGTTAAGGTTAGCGTGAGCTACACGGCAAGACCCTGTTTGAAGAAAACAAAACAAAAATTAAGTTCTTGGATTTTTTCTGAATCCAGACAGATAATGTTGAAGAATATGTGCAGAAACTTGAAGAATCTGCGTTCTTTCAAACCGGGCTTTAGCATATTGTTGACATAGTCTATGTATATGGAAATAATTTATTCCAAGCAGTGAGGAACTACCACCTGCATAGTGTAAATAGCTTGCTACTGAGATTTTTCTACATCATTTATTCCTTAGAATGTCTCCAAATACCCAGACCTATTCAGAAAGCGTATGCTTTCATCATACTGGGATATCAGGTTCTAGAATGTTTATCCTAAACAATGTGTAAAACTAAAACTGGATATGATAGAATAGAGTCCAGGTTGGTTTTTTTGTTTGTCTGTTTTTGATCATTGTCTTTTTTGAAACAGCGTTTGACTATGCAGTTCAAGTTGGTGTTGAACTCATTTTGTAGCCTAGGTGGCCTTGAACAATCCTCCTACATCATCCTCTTGTGTACTGGAATTACAGGCAAGTGCCACCATGCCCAGCTGCGTTTCTTTTTTTACTAAGTCTAGATAAAGCTCCGCAAACAAGGCTCACATTATCTTTTATTCGGCATCATTTCCTGGGCAGCCTGCTCCTTAGTACTAGTGAGCGCTTGTAGCCTGCATTGGTCCCTTATACTCATGGCAGCTTTCTGGGCCCTGTTAACATTTGATATTGATCACCCTATAAATTTTGAACTTCCGTTATGTCTGAGTTAGAAACTTAGAAACATCAGCTTTGTCTTCTTAGCAAAAGTCATACATTGCTTTATGTTACAGATTGTGTATATCATCTTGTTTCCTAGATCATTTGTTGTTACATATTTTTATTTCATCAAAACTGATTATGTCAGAGATGATACAAGATATTGTCACTGCTCCCCCCTCCATGTTTTTCTTTTCTTTTATTTTGGTGGAACCAGGGCTTGAACTCAGGCCTTTGCACTTGCCAGGGAAGTGTTTATTCCACTGAGCCATCTCCCTGTGCCCAAAATCTCAGTTCTCTCTCTCTCTCTCTTTTTTTTTTTTTTTTTTTTTTTTTTTGGGCAGAACCAGGGATTGAACTCAGGCCTTTGCGCTTGCCAGGCAAGCACTTATCCTACTGAGCTATCTCCCCAGCCCCACCCCCCATGTTTTTCAACATAGGTTCATGCTATGTAGTACATGGTAGCTTTGAACTCAATATGTAGCCCAGGCTAGCCTCAAACTCTGGTTTCTCCTGCCTCAGCCTCTCCCAAGTGCTTGGATTGCAGGTGTGTACTACCATGCCCAGCTATATTCTTTTTAAATTTATTTATTATTTATTTTTGGTGGAACTGGGGATTGAACTCAGATCCTTGTGCTTGTCAGGGAAGCGCTTATTCCACTGAGCCATCTCTCCGGTCCCCCCAACTATATTCTTGCTTTATTTGCAGATAAATGTTAAAGGAGGGACTGTGCTACATTTTTTGAGGTAATTTTGAAATTGACATCTCTGAAATCTATAAATCAAACTCAGAAATTTCATAGTTAATTGCCTTGTGTTGAGTACTTATACTGCAGCAGTTAGGGTATAAATGTATTATATATATATTGTTCCACATGGTATGCAGTAGATACCATTACCCAGTTATTTTGTGTATGAGGAAACAGGAATTATGTAATTTGCTTGCTTGTAGTTGCAGCTATTCAGGAGGCTGAGATGGGAAGATCTCTTGAGCTCAGAAGCTTGAGACTAGCTGGGCAACACTTTTGGGCCAGGGGGTAGGGGAAGTAATATAAGGTCTTAGCCAGTAGAGTTCGGATTCAGACACATCTATGACCGTGTGTATGTGTATGTGTTACTAAGGATTAAAACCAGGACCTTCATACTGAGCTATGTCCCCACCTGTCTTGTCCAGGGTGGGCATGAACCTGGGCTGGGATTACAGGCATTGGAGCCCTTATTCTAAAATACTCCATTATCTAGACAACATAAAATATGTGGAAAGAAAAATCACATTTTAGATGAAAAAGTGGTCTTCGCTTCTTGTAAGTATGTCCTTCATGCTGAGGCTCATGAGATGGCCTTGGCAAAGTCACTTGGCTTTACAAGGACAGAATGAAGTCTAGCCAAGATCACTAGATTTTGAGACTGGAACTCACTGCAGTGGACAGCATTGCCTCTCCTATGGAAGCACTGACAGGTTGGCTAAGGTGACTTTTTTGAGGGCAAGGGGAATCTTACATAGTTTAAGCTGGCCTTGAGGTCATTGTGTAGCCCAGGCTGGCCTTGAGCTCACAGTGGTCCTTCTTTGTCATCCTCAAGAGTGCAAGGCTACAGGTGTGCAGCACTACTTCTAGCTGACATGACTCTAAGTGACAAGTTTACACTGTACTTTTTGCAGTGGAGAAAGAATACAGAGGATATTATTAGGAACACAGATGACCTTGAGGTTTATTCTAGCCTCAGGCATACAACGTTGGAAGAACATTACTTAGGCAGCAAGTTGTTATTTTCCATTCTATGTCTTATTCTCAAAGGAAAATGATTGTAAGTTTTATCTTACAGTCTATTTGTTTTGTTTGTTCACTTTTTCATGCATTCACTATGACAAGTTAGGAAGGTTATGAGTCATTTTGTTATTTTCCTACAGAGAATCAAAGCACCCAGTAGATTAATTATAGGAGGAAATTAATTTTAAAAACTTTGATCAGGGGCCGGGGAGATGGCTCAGTGGAATAAGCGCTTCCCTGGCAAGC